ATCATTGCACGATAAATCGCTGAAGTTTTCCCATTCAATTTGGAGTAAATCAGCTGTACAAGCTTCATAATTTGTTTTATGAAACAGGAACCTTGGTGTTGCAAACTCCTTGAGCGTGTGCCTTTTTTGCTGTTTAACAGTCACTTCTAAGCAAGGATGATGTTCGTCTATACGACTAATTAAAAACTTACTAAATAAAAACTGTCTGTGTCTATAAATCGTCTTGTAGCATTCTAGAAGGTTTACTTGAGAAAAGCACTCTTGTGATCTACTAATAAAGTTGTGCCCACTTTTACTTTAAATCATCTAGAAACCTTCTTCGAGATATCTTTAGGGTATTTGAACTCTTAAAATATTCAATCGAATTAAATTCTATTAGATATCTTATAGTATATATTTAGATATGGGTGTGCTGCTTGGGAAGTAAGCCTTTTCGCTAGGGGAATAATTTTAAGAATAAACGGTTACGGTTTTTAAGTAATTTAACATTGAAGTTATATTCTACGTAGATATTATTGTGGATTAAACGAATTTTTCACTGTCACTCTATCACAATAACAGCTACAGTTTAGTTTTTCTTTAGTTTACATGACTCTTGGAAAGTACAGATTGTGACATAGTATTGTTTGCTTATGATACCTACACACATTATTAAAGGTAAATGACATGTTCCTATGACGTCATGTTCATTTCAGTAAGTAACCTGATTCTTCACGAAAAGAAACAAATTGTTTGACATTTATATTACTTAATGTTAGGCAGGCATACAAATATAATAGTAAGTATAAGAGTACGAAAAATGAAACGTCGTAGGTACGGTAGATTTTTATAACTTTTTTTCATAACTGCATACATCCCAAGGAACACACTTTATACGCCTTGAAACTGTTACATCTATAAACAGTCTTAATTAATATGGTATAGATTTAGATAATAGTTATCTATAAATGGTTTTAGAAAAAAAGGAAATTGTTCTTATAGAATTATTTCACTCAAGTCAAAATTTTAAAACCTTCTTAATACCAAACAACTTAATTAAGTATAATCTCGCTTAAGATTTACTCTTATAGTCCTTATTTTAAGTTCATCTGTAGAACAATTGATTATTTTTAGTCAAATTGTTCTACACATATCCAGTAAAGTCTATTAATACTCTAAAAACTAGTGTTTTTAAGTTTTATAGACATTCTTTAGTGTTTGTACTAATGACAAACACGTTATAGCCCGTCTTCAGTAGATTTTATTTTAAAAAATACTACAATTAGGGTTTTTGCTCTATTGGACGTTGTAAGAGTTCATGCAAAATGGATAAAGTAAAGAATATTAAAAGATCTAGTGGAGGTGGTGAACCTTAGATATTATGTCACATCATTCGATACACTCAGCGTTGCCAATGCCAATTGTTCAAAATCCCCAAAAACCACGGTTAAAATCCCCAAATTTGGGGAGAGCAAAGTTCATATTCCCCACAAACTCCCCACATCTCGAGTTTTCATTATTTATTAGAAATACAACGCTTAAAAATATAATCAAATTGTTCGGGACAATTTCAGGTTCTGATATGGATAGACGATACGGCGGGCCGCAGTCTTTGAACATAGACAGAAAATGGAGACTGCCTTACGACAACATTTTTTAGGTCCCAGGACCTTTTCGGGATTGGGGAAATTACTTAAGAACATTAAAAATTGACGTAATGGAGGACAGGCAGGTATACTATATTTATCTTGTAAGTAATGTACGATTTATGCTTCCCTTTTATGAGAAAAAGAATTAGTACTCAATTAAAACCCAAGTGGATTTCGGAGGGCATAAAAAAATGCAGTAAGCGTAGAAGAAATTTGTTATGGAAATATCGAATTTCAAAAAACAAACATGACTTGGAATTATTTCGTAACTACTCTTCTAAATTTAAAAGAATTTTAAAGTTAACGCAAGCATCTCAAAATAACTATTATATACTTAATTCTAAAAATAAATCACAGGCATCATGGACCGTTATTAATAGTACTAAGTAGCAGATGCCAAAGGATAACATTACGAAAATAACTGTAAATAGATCAAATAATACAAACCCTACTCAGATTGCTAAAAATTTCAATGATTATTTTATAGATCAGGTACAACCAGCGTATCGTTGCTCACACGATAGTGTAAAACTTTGTAAATATGATGGATACAAATAATTTTTCTTAAGACCTGTTAGCCCGGAAGAGGTCAGTAAAATTATAAGAGATCTTAAGAGCACAAACAGTACAGGATATGATGGGTTAAGTACAAAGATAATTAAATTTGTATCTGAATTAATTTCACCTATTTTAAGTCACATTATTAACTTACAGCAAGAACAAGGGGTATTTCCATCTAAACTAAAAACAACCATTATTAATTCATCCCTGAAAGCAAGTCTGGCCGAAGTGCAATGTAAATTGGAGGCTTCGGATAACACCATCTGTGAGTTACGTGCCCAAGTTGTATTACTGAGTAGTGCAACTTCGGTAAGTAGGTCACCCGAGGCCTGTAACGTGAATACTCGTCGCGGGGCACATAATGCATCTATCGGCAGTTTTGAGTCGGCCCATACGGATGCGTCACCGACCGCTGTCGCTGAGCGCGATTCCCTGCGCCCCGCCCCTCGATTGTCCGCTCCGGCGGAGACGTCACGCGTAAACACGTTGACCCCTCCACGTGATTACGCCGCTGTCGCAGCTGTTAACCGACCCGTTGCTCCACAACCACAAGCCAGGCAGCTATCAACGAAGGGGATGAAAAAACCTCGTGTACCTGTCTCTGAAGTTGCAAAACCACAGAGGCAGACGGCCCGGTGCGACGATGACGGCTTCACAAAGGTGGAGAAGAAGAAGAGGAAGCCCACCAGCCGTAACCTGTGCGGCACTGCACCGACAGGGTCCAACTTTTTGCTGCGTCCGGCAATCCCGACAACGCTGCTGTACCTGTCACGCCTGCATTACTCCACGAAGTCTGAGGAGATAGTGGAGTACATCAGGTTGAAATCCAAATACACCCTGAGGGTCGAGCGGTTGGAGTCCCGCCACTACGTGAACTTTAATTCGTTTGTGGTGAGAGTGCCGACCGAACATCTGTCGACCTTCATGAAGGAGGAGTTCTGGCCGAAGGGTGTCCTATACCGGCGATTCCGTGGCCGGTTGCCTGACACCAGATGGCGCCACACGTCGCCGACAACCTAAATAGGTGTTAAATTAGTAATTAGTGTTATTTTATATTGTTATGTATGTTAGTCTGTAAGGTATGTATCTATGGGTCTCAGTAACCTGAATATAAATAAATAAATAAATAAATAAATAAAAATAAATAAAAATTAAACCAATTCTTAAAAAAGACGAACCTAATAATATGAAAAACTATAGACCTGTAGTGTTAACACCTGTATTCTCAAAGGTTATTGAAATGGTTATTTCTAAAAGTATTTACGACTACCTTGAAACAAATAATATATTCTGTAACGAACAAAAATGATTTCGTAAGAATAAATCCATTGATCTTGCAAAATATAATTTTTTTAACATTATTTACAGTAGAATGGACAAAAGACAACCTGTAATGGCACTGTACATGGACATGTCAAAAGTGTATGTGGATCATGATAAATTAATAATGCAAAAATTGGGAATTTATGGTATACGCGGAAATACTCAAAACTTACTAAAAAAACAAATCTGAGTGACAGAACACAAATAACACAAATCAGTCGAATTTCTTTAACTTTAAGGGGCAATAACTCTTTGACAAACAAATTAATTTATAACTCTCGTGTTATCGGTGAAACATCGGGAACCACATTCCTTGGACTTCACATTGATAGGAAAATGCAATGGGACGAACAACTCATACGCTCTCTTTAAATTGTCTAAGGTGGTAAACAAAAACGCTTTACTTGTCGTTTACCACAGCTACGTAGCTGCAACACTCAGATATGGTATCTTATTTTGGGGTAATAGTAGCAACATAATACAAGTTTTTCGAGCTCAAAAGAGGTGCATAAGGGCAATCTGTGGACTAAAACAGACCGACAGTTGCAGAAACTATTTTAGAGAACTAAAAATTTTGACCTTGCCTTCATTATATATCTATGAAACAACCTTATTTATACGACGACACCCACAACTTTTTCCTGTAGTTACAGGAGCACGACGTCCTAACCAACTACGCCAAATAAATTGTAAAACGTCACTAATTGTTTTAATTATCTCTGCTGTTCTAAGAGAAGAATTAATGAAAAGAAAACGTAAAAAAAGATGTTGGGTCAAAAAATGGATATCGAGAAGAAACACTTTTGGAGCATCTAATACTTTGTGTCTGGAATTAGAATTGGAAGATGAAGAGACATTCAAAAATATGTTTCGAGTTACGAAAACCCAATTTTCATATTTACTTCAACAAATTGGACCATCTATACAAAAAAAAGATACAAATATGCGTCAAGCTATAGCCGCTCGTACAAAATTGGAAATAACTTTAAAGTTTCTGGCTACAGGGGATTCCTTTCAAACGTTATCAGAAATATTTAGAGTACCTAGGTGTACCATAAGCTACTTTTTGGTTGAAGTTTTGCAAGCTATTTACACAGCGTTGGAAGATTTTCTTAAGGTATGAATAAAAAACTATTATTTCATTTCAAAATCAATATATTTATGTATTTATTCAACATCAGTCTTGCTTGTGAGGTAGATTATTCAAAAATAAAAGATAATAGGATAATTCACTTACCAATCAAAATAACATAAAGATAATTAAAAATATAAATAAAATCATTATTTTATGTAACCGTTGCAGTGTCATCGTGCACGCTTGCATTCCACCACTGTAGATCGCTATCAGGTCTTGAAAATGGGGAATCCGGCATTGGAGTAGTCTCTTTCAAATTTTTGAGTTTAAACTTTGAGAGTGTTGCCTGGATTTCATCCTGAGCAAATATCATATTTTTTTCATTAAGCTTGCGCAAGCTGGATGCAACATACTTCCCAAACATGTCCAAATCGTCCTCATATTGCCTAGATCTTTTATCAATAGCATCTAATCTATCAATGGCTGAATCAATGTCCAACTTTCTGGTCTTTGTCTTTTTAGTTTGGGTTGGCTTTGGTGTCAAATCTACTATATCGCTAACGGAGTCTAAAATTTGGAAAGTATGCGTTTCGTCATTATTTACCACTGACACATTAAATGGACTGTTTGGTGTATTTGGGGTAGACTCATCTATCTGAAATTTAAAAATAATAAT